TGATGCCTCCAGCTTTGCTCTTCTTTTTTTAAGGTTGCTTTGACTATTCAGGGTCTTTTGTGATTCCATACAAATTTTAGGATTTTGTTGTAGCTCTGTCAAACATTCAGTTGGTGTTTTGATAGGGATTGTATTAAATGTGTAGATTGCTTTGGGTAGCATAGACATTTTAATAATATTTGTCCTTCTGCTCCTTGAGCATGGAATACTTTTCCATTTCTTTGTGTCATCTTCAGTTTCTTTCATCAGTGTTTAAGAGTTCAGGTCCTTAATCTCTTTGGTTAGGTTTATTCCTAGGTATCGTATTGTTTTTGGTACAGTTGTAAATGGGATTGATTCCTTAATTTCTCTTTCTGCAGCTTCATTATTGGTATATAGAAATGCAACAGATTTCCCTATGTTGATTTTGTATCCTGTGACTTTACTGAATTAGTTTATCAGTTTTAGCAGTTTTTTTGGTAGAATCTTTTAGATTTTTTATATGTAGTATCATGTCATCTGCAAATAGTGAAAGTTTACTTTTTCCTTGCCAATTTGGATGCCTTTTAATTTGTTTTGTTGTCTGTTTGCTGTGGCTAAGACTTCCTTTACTATGTTAAATAACTGTTGAGAATGGACATCCCTGGCTTTTCCTCATCATAGAAGAAAAGCTCTGTTTTTCCCTATTGAGGTTGATGTTAGCTGTGGGTTTTTCATATATGGCCTTTATTATGTTGAGGTATATGTCCTCTAAATCTTCCTCGTCGAGGGTTTTTATCATGAGTAGCATTTGATTAACCTCTACATATTTGTGAATTCTCAAGCTTTCTTTTTGTAATTGTTTTCTAGTTTCATACCTTTGTGGTTGAAAGATGCTTGATAAGATTTCAGTCTTTTTAAATTTATTAAGACTTGTTTTGTGTCCTAACATATGGTCTATACCAGAAAATGTTACAGGTGCACTTGAGAAGAATGTATATTCTGCTGCTTTGGGATCGAATATTCTGTATATATCTATTAAGTCCATCTGGCCTAATGTATTATTTAAGGTGCAACACATATTTGATAAATTGCACTTTCTTAATTTTTTTACTGTTCTTAATAATTGATTTACTGTTTGGGATGCCTGGGTGGCTCAGTCGATTAAGTGTCTGACTCATGATTTTGGTTCAGGTCATGAACTCATGAGTCATTAAAGCTAGCCCCAAGTGGGGAGTCTGCTTGAGATTCTCTCCTCTGCCTCTCCCCCAATTCATGCATGTTTGCATGCACTCTCTCTCTCTCTAATAAATCTTTAAAAACATAATTGATTTACTGTTCATTTTGTTTTACTTATATTTTCTACAAATACTTTTACTTGTCATTTCCATTTTTATCCCTTATTTACTTTTCTTGTTTAATTGAAAGATTTGATATTTTTTGGTTTGCTGTCCATTAATTTAAGTGATATTGGTCTACAATTTTCTATTTTTGAAGAATGTCTAGTTTTGGTATAATTCTTATGCTGCTTTTCTTAAAAAGGATTTACATAAATCCATGACTAGAATGGATTTTAAACTTAAATTCTCATATATTAAATAGCCACAGCATTCCAAAAGAAAAAGTTACCAGTTATACATAATAGTGTTTAAATTAATTAGGTTTGGCATTTTTGAAAGAATTAACATTATAGAGGTAATTACAGGGAATATTTTTAGAACTTTGAGATATATAGCAAAAATTTCAATTTTTGGTGTATAATTTCTCTCTATATAAAGGTACATATTATTTTTCATTTTATATCTCACATTCTCCTGTGTGAGACCTTTGCTTTGGCCCTGTTTGTCTGTTGCTGTTCTCTGAATATACATTGCTATTCCTAACCTGGCACTGACATGCATGGTTGCATTTATTATTTCATTTATCACTTGAACACCTTTGTTTTCTAAATGCTATACAAAGGTCTGGAGTTACAGTGGTAAATGAGAGCTATATGTCTCACAGTCATGGGCTTTCTGAATTATAGTACCAACATGATATATAATGGTGGTTACAAGTTTTGGAATTAGACAGACATGGGTTCAAATACTTATTTTGCCACCTAATAGCAGTATGATCTTGGGTGTGTTATTTAACAACTCTACACCTTAGTTTTTTCATCTCATCTCTAGAAAGGAAATACTAAATATTTCTACCTGATAGCATTTCTATGTAAAGTCCTTGAGTTAATATTTGTCAACTACTTTGCACAGCCCTTGGCACACAGCAAGTGCTCAATAATGGTATGGTAATTATTGTGAATGCTATAACTATTTCTACAAGAAAAATCATTGCACATGAAAAACATCTTTGTCCATATCACATCATTTTTCTAAGGCCATAGTGCATGAAGAATCAAACTTTAAAGGCATGCCTTTCAATAATTGAGATAGATTTGTTGAAAGAGATAAAAGTAATTCAGTGTTCTCTAGTTGATCGATTAAATGTGACCTTTGTTGATTTTAGTAATATTTAAGTGAGCAAATTTTAATTCTGTTTTTATTATATTTTATCTATTTATTTATTTTTAAAGATTTTATTTATTTATTTGACAGAGAGAGACACAGCGAGAGGGGGAACACAAGCAGGGGGAGTAGGAGAGGGAGAAGCAGGCTTCCTGCAGAGCAGAGAGCCCAATGCGGGGCTCGATCCCAGGAGCTGGGATCATGACCTGAGCTGATGGCAGACGCTTAATGACTGAGCCACCCAGGCGGCCCTGTTTGTATTATATTTTAGATCAAGGTTTATAAAATTGTTTCTTAGCTTCAGAATAAAAAATATAGTTGCTTTGTGTGCTTAGATTTAGCAGCTGGACACTGCTTTCCATTTTATTGTTTTGACATCTTTTGCTTAAGTAAGGCTTATTAAATGAAATATTATTCACAGCATGGTAGTAAATACTTTACATTCTTCTTATATACTTTCTCTGGACTTTGTAAATGGCATAACTCAGTTCTCTGACCTCTTTTAGTATTAAAATAAGGTATTGAACCATTTTATTTACCTTTTGCAATTTCAAAGACCAATAATAAGAAATGTCTTAATTTTAAAACTTTTTGAATCTTAGGGCTGATTCTAGGAATCTTTAGATTCATTGCCAACTTTGATGAATGATACCTGAAGTGGAAAACTGCTCAAAGTGCGCAATGGAGTTCGGACCTATCATTTTCATCTTGTAATCTACAAAATTGGGGGGAGGGGATGAGACTATATTTGGACTAAATACTTGGATCCCAAATTTTGTATTTGAAGGTAGGGGTATAATGGAATTCATAGGATAAATTCCAAATCAAAAGGCAAAAGTATTTGAGATGAATCAAGTATGACAAGAAAGTATTTATGTGTGTTTGATGATGGGGTGGAAAAAGAAACTCTCAATTGAGTAGGTTAATCTTCTGTTCTTTTTTTCTTCTTTCTCTTTCCAAAAGTGTCAGTTTTGACTTCTTACAGCTGACAAATGGCCTACCTGAAATATTTCACAGAAGAGAGAGCAGGATTTAGACTAGTATTGTGTTACTTAACTTTTTGCTAAACTGAAAATTTTCAGTATGTATAATTGGTTCATCTTTATCAAATAGGACAAATATAAAACTTTAGGGAAGAAACTTGTAACATTATTAAATATAATAGCTTAGGGGCACCTGGGTGGCTCAGTCGTTAAGCGTCTGCCTTCGGCTCAGGTCATGATCCCAGGGTCCTGGGATCGAGTACCACATCGGGCTCTCTGCTCAGTGGGAAGCCTGTTTCTCCCCCTGCTTGTGTTCCCTCTCTTGCTCTCTCTCTCTCTGTCAAATAAATAAATAAAATCTTTAAAAAATAAATATAATAGCTTAGAAGTAGTGGTAACAGTGAGAAATAAAAACATTAAAAAATTAAAATGGGTGATGACAACAGGACTTGGGGTTAGTTTACAGGGAAGATCAGTGGAACCCCAACATTCATTCAAGACTAAACAGAGATATATTGTTAATCTTGATAAGAACTGCTTTGGTTGGAGGAGTTAGGACAGAATTCATATTTATGAATTCAAGAGAGAACAGGAGGAAAGTAAGTAAAAGCAATAAGTATTGATAACTCCTGAGTATCATTGCTAGAAAGGCAATAAGGTGATTGGGGGATAGCTAAAGAGAGATGTAGGGTTAAGGAAGGGTTTTGGGGTATTGTTTTGTTTTGTTTTGTTTTAAAGATTTTATTTATTTATTTGATAGAAAGAGACACAGCGAGAGAGTATTGTTTTGTCTTTTAACCCTGGGAAATATTAGGACTTACTAGCTTGTGGATGGATATGGTCCATTAAAAAGGGAAAGTTATAGTTACATATGGGAGATTCGGGGCAATTTCTCCAGCATTGACTTTAGTTTGACAAGAAGTGATGGCAACCACTGTATAAGTTTAGGGCTTGTCTTTAGATAAGAACATAGTTAGTTCATCCATGGTAATGTGTAGGAGAGCAGAATGTATGAAAATAAATATAGGTAGATTATTGATCTAATGAGAAAAGAGGTAGGGGTTTTCTTCTAATTGCTTCGATTTTTTAATGAATTTTCTAGGTCTTCAACTGACAGTATCTGAGAGAAGGAGAGAGGAATTGGACTAGGGGAGTACAAAGGACAAAGAGCTTCAGAAAACCATATATTTCAAGAAAAAAACCTGGCCTGCTTTACATATTTATATTATCCACTTGGCTCTTGACTTTATTATTCGGGTCCTGATTAAACTCTTTTCTCTCTTTTGGAGAATTGTTTCTCTCTTACTTCTTGGCTCCTTTTTGCAGGGGTGGGGATAAAAACAGTTCTTTCTTTGGACAGTTATCTCTTTTATCTTAATAAAAAGATAAACAACAAAATGCTTTTTGACAGCCTTTTATATCCAGATATATCCAGTCACTAAGTTGTATTTGTTCTTATTAATTGCAGTGTCAAAAACTAAAGAAAAGGACTATTGATATTCCGATTTCACTTTTTAAAAAGTTTATCATAATTTTGTTTTTCTTCTTCTTTTAGATGTTCTTAATAGTTGCTCCTCTTTCTGTCCTCTACAACTGGAGGGATGAATTGGACACCTGGGGATATTTCAGAGTCACTATTTTACATGGTAACAAAAAAGACAATGAACTGATTCGTGTAAAGCAGAGGAAATGTGAAATTGCTCTAACAACTTATGAAACGTTACGTTTATATCTGGAGGAACTTAACAGGTAATGGGAATAATGGGAATGATTGCATTAATATTCTGTTTACACCCATTATATTTATCCCTTTATATTGTGATTTTTTAAAAAGTTCTGAACATTCCTTAGCATAATTTCATTTCATTTCAGAATTATTAAAATAGACAGTTTATAATAATTTATTTTCTAAAAAGGAAAAACCTGTGGGGAGCCTGGGTGGTTCAGTCAATTAAGCATCCCACTCTTGATTTTGGCTCAGGTCATGATCTCAGGGTTGTGGGATTGAGCCCCATGTCATGCTCTCTGTGGGTGTGGAGCCTGCTTAAGATTCTTTCTCGCCCTCTCAAAACAAAACAAAAGAAAACAAAACCTGCATCAGATTTTATACAGTTCATTCTTTTTCCTTTATGCCGTCTCCAAACAATGTGTGTTAAAGAAGGGTAATACTATCCTAAATTTTACACATATGGCACCTGTAGACTAAGAGCAATTTTCATGAATGATTTTAATTATGGGAATCTGTTGTGAATTTGAGTGGCAATAAGTACATATACATATTGAGAATCAGTGTTCCAGGATTATAAGTACCCAAAAGAAATGAACTGTCTTATGCCTGACTGCATCTTAAGATTTTGATGGGGCATCTAGAGACATAACTATAAAGCCATGTGAGTGTTATGATATGTGACAGGGGATGTTGTGGGAGCACATAAGAGACCTAATTCTGCTGCAAAGTGAGGAGAGTTGTCAGGGAGCTTCCCAGAGAAGATGACCTATGAGCTGAGTAAGAGTTGAAGGATGAGTAAGAGTTGAAGAGTAGAAGAGTAATGCAGGAAGAGGGAACAAAGAGCATTTGCAGAGGCCTTCAGCCCACAAACATCACGGCCCACTTTTGAATAAATGAAAGCAGTTCTGATGCATTCTGTATCTCATGGCTGCAGCATACGTGTAAGAGGGAAGTGGCTGAGAGACAACAACTGTGTGGTAAGCAAGGAACAGATTATAAAAGATACTGAAAGCTGTCTGGAGGATTAGAGGTCTTTATTCTTAGAGTAGTAAAATGCCCTAGAAATGTTTACAGTGGATTACTAATAAGATAAAAATGGTCAGATTTGCATTTATAAGTAACCTATCTGCTGTGTGTGAAGACAGAGGAGAACCAAACTAAATGAAGAAAGACCAATTAGAAGACTTATTATGAGCTAAATTTTGTCCCCTCCAAGTTTGTATGGGCAAGTCCAAACCCAGGGACCTCAGAATGTAACTGTATTTGGAGATAATATTCTTAAAGAAGCAATTAAGTTAAAATGAGGCCATGAAGGTAGCCTAGTCCAATCAGGCTGGGGTCCTTAGAAGAGAAAGAGATACCAGGAACTTGAGTGCACAGAGGAAAGGATACATGGGGACACAGCAAGAAGGCAGCCCTCTATTAGCCAAGGAGAGAGGCCTCAGAAGAAACCAAACCTGCCAACACTTTGGTCTTGGATTTCTAGTCTCTAGAACTGTTGTGTCTGGCATATCATAATATTTTTGCTCATGATAGTATTTTTGAGATTCATCCATGTTATTGAATGTATCTGTGATTGTTCTTTTTTAATCCTGAGGTGTATTGCATTTTATGAATACACCACATTTTGTTACCCATTATTTTGAGGATAGATATTTATATTTGGGTTTTCCAGTTTTTGGTTATTATAAATAAAACTCTAAGGAATATTATTGTAGAAGCCTTTTTTGAAGCATACATTTTCATTTATCTTGGGTTGACATATTTGCATTTCCTGGGAGTGGAATTGTTGGGTTATGTAAGTATAGGTTTAACTTTAGAAGAAACTGCCAAGCCATTTTCCTGGGTGGTTGTACCATTCTATTCCAACTAGCGATCTATGGGACTTAAGTTGCTTTCTATATTCACCAACATTTGGCATTATCAGTCTTTTTGTTTTTAGATATTTTAGCGTGTCTGTGGTGGTACTTTGTTATATAATTTGCATTTTTCTGAACTATGTATACGTGAAAAAAATGTTTATTCTACAGTTAGATAGAATGTTCTATAAATATCAATAAAGTCAAGTTGGTTAGGAGTTGTTCTTAATGTTCTCTGTCTTTACTAATTTTCTGTTGTTTTATAATTTCTGAGAGAAAAATGTTGTAATCTTCAATTATACTTGTATATTTTTAAATTCCTTTGGGTTCTGTCAGCTTTAAAGTTCATATATTTTGAAGCTCTTATTGGATACACACACATTTAAGATTGGTAATTTTTTCTTATGAATTAATCCTTTTATCTTAAAAAATGTTCCTTTTTATATCTTGAAGTTTTATCTGATATCAATATAGACAATACAGTCTTCTTATACTTACTGCATGTTTATCATTTTCTATCTTTCTGCTTGAATATATTGGTTCTTTATATTTAAAGTGAGCCTTTGTGGTTAATGATAGGTCTTTCTTTTTTATTCATTCTGATAACCTGCCTCTTATTTGGAGTTGTTAGTCCATTTACATTTGATATAATTATTAGTAAGGTGGATTTCCATTTTTGTCAGCTCTAAGATTTGATTTTACCTCACTTAGAAGCTAATAATAGCCTGCTCCTGTTTCATGGATGCTATCAGAAAGATAGGAGTAATCTGAGGCATGGAGAAGTACCTCATCAAAGCCTACAACAGCTAAGTCATTGGTAGGCATGAAATTTAAACTTTGACCAACTAACTCCAGAACTTGGGCTTTTATTTAATATATTATATGACCCCAAAAGATGTTCTGCACTTACATAAATATAGTAAGGTATTTGTTCATCATAGCATCAATCATATTGTAATTTTTAATTGTCTGCCCCTTTAGACTGTGAGGACTTTGGTGTAGGATAATTTCTGTATTTCAGGGCTTATTACACCTCTAGCACATAATATTTGCTGAATATATGTTTGTTAAGTACTTATTTTCTGTGATTGTTACAAATATTAAATGAGAATTCTGAAGTGGAATTTTGTCGGTATGTATCCCAGATTTCTGTAAAATTGAAAAATTAAATGTCACAGTGTTTGTTATATGTAGCTTTCTGTTATTTGTTCAAATGGCTTTATTTTGACAAATGTTCAAAATAATTTAGATTTCATTTGAGTAAATATTAAGTAATTCTGTTTTAGATTTGCTGCAATCTGGTATTTTATTTTTTTATTGAAGTATAGGTGACATACATGTTATATTAGTTTCAGGTGTACAACATAGTGATTCAACAAGTTTATATGTTATGCTATGCTCAAATACTAAGTAATTTTTGTGAGAATAGCACTCTGTGATAGAACAGAATTAAACATTGATCATAGATAATCCAGAGTAAACACACTATATGAGTGAGCTATATCTCTTTTTGTTATTATTATGTTTTGCTTCATTTTTATCAGTTATATATGTATATTATTTAGAGATCCAAATATGAAAAACTGCAATTCACTCCTTCCTGCCACCTCTATTACCTGTTCTTCAGACACAACCATCTTCAATTCTTTTACTTCTCTTCCTACTTTTACCACCACATCTCTAAAGAAAATTTTTATGCTGCAACTTTTAATTTTTTTTATTTTTTATTTTTTTAGTTTTCAGCACACCTGCTGATTTCTTCTTAGATTTTGTCCTTCTTTTGCTTAGTTGAGGGTGACCTGGCTGGACTGTTTTATGGAGTAGGAACTACTAGCTAGGAGATCCAGTTGCTTCTTAGACTTGAACTTTTGTATAACTCCAACTTCCAGAGGCATCTGGTACCACCAATTCCTAGCTTTTTAAGACCACTACTGGCATAGGCTTCTGCTTTCTCTGCTTTTGTAAGTCATCTTGTTCATTTTCTTCCCAGCCTCTAAAATTTTGTGGTCGTTTTTTTCCTTTTTCTCTTTATTCTTTTGTTCTTTTTCAACTTTATATTAAGAAATTATCAAACCTGTAGAAATATTGAAGTAACAGTATATGAACATCTATATGCTTACCACCTATACTCACCAGTTCTGTGTGTGTGTGCTTGTCTGTGTGTGTGTGTGTATTCAAATGTTGGCAAAATGTGTTAATCTATGTGTGTCTATGTCTATGTACAGTGGTGGTATTAAGTCATTTCAGTAAATTGTAAATAACATGACAATATAATCCCAAAATATTTAGCATAGATTTCCTAAAACTAATTATATTTTTTCTCGTACCACATTATCATTGTCACACCTAAGAAAATTAACAGCAATTAAAATTTCCTTACTTATCTTCAAAATATTGTTAATATCCAGTATATGCAAAGCAGGATCCAATAAATATTCAAATGATGGATTTGTTGATTAAGTCTCTTTAGTCTTTTCTAATCTGGGACATTCCCCCAACTTCACTTTCTTATTATATGATATTTTGAGGGGATCAGGCCAGTTGTCTTTTAGGATGTCTCAAATATTAGATTTGTCTATTTATTTTCTCAAGGAATTGTGTGTTCCTTTACATCTGTATTTCTATAAGCTGATTTTGGTCTAAGGCTTAATTAGATTCAGGTTAAACATTTTTGATAAAAATACTTCATAAGTGAGGCTGTGGGCTTCATATTACATTACTTCAGGAGATATTAATGTCAGGTTGTTTCACTATTAATGATGCCAAGTTTGTCCTACAGGCTAAAGAAGTGGTCATCAGAGATTATAAAGTTATGTTTCTCCCTTTACAATTGTGGGGTGATACTTTGCCACTATTTGAATATTCTGATCCTTCAGTCCTTTTGCTTAGTGGTATTAGCATACAAAAATTATTCTTGCCTCAATCAGATATTTTACTGGGTTTTACAAAATAATGTTTTCCTGAATTTATCATTTCTTCTACACTTATTAACTGGCATTCTCCTTTAATTAGGAATTAACTATAATATCAACTAAAAAAGCAAGGCAAGTACTTGATTCTTCGGCCAACTTTCAGACTAAGATGATGGTGTGATGGTCATCTACAATGATAGCAAAGTTTTCTTCCCATCTTCCCCTTTTCTGAGTGTCACTATGGATTAATGGATTAATGAAGTAGATTTGACATACCATTCTAAGTAGAGAATGATTTTTAGTAAATTTATGAAGTTGTGATTATCACCACAATCCAGTTTTAGGACATTTCTATCACCTTAAAAAGTTTTTTTGCTTCAAGTCAATCAGTGGTCCCATCTCCAGTTTCAAGCAATGCAGTCTGCTTTCTGTCTCTCTAGATTTGCCTCTTCTGGAAATTTGATGTAAAGGGAATCATTCACTGTGTAGTCTTTTGTGTTTGATTTTGAGGTCCATCATGTTGTAGCATGTTTCAATAGTTTGTTGCTTTTTATTGCTTAACAGTACTATTATATGTATATACCTCATTTTTTTTTTATCTATTCATCATGCATGGACATTTGGATTGTTTCCAGTTTTTGGCTGTCATGAATAATGCTGTGAACATTTATGTACAAGTCTTTGTGTGGATGTAAATATTCTTTTCTTTTTTTTTTTTTTGACAGATACTTAGGAATGGAATTGCTGGGTGTTAGGAGAAATTTAACTTTTTAAGAAACTGCCAAATTGTTTTAGAAAAGTAGCTGCATAAAAAAAAAGGAAAAAGAAAAAAAAGTAACTACACTTTCCCCAAAACAGTGTATGAGGATTCGTTTCCCCATATCCTTGTCAACACTTGATATTGTCAATCTTTTTTTGATTATAGCATTCAAATGGGTTTGTAGCAGTATCTTGTGGTTTTAATTTGCATTTTTCTAATGACTAAAGATGTTGAGAATCTTTTATGTACTTGTTTGTCCTTTGTATATCTTCTTTGGTTAAATGTCTATTAAAATACTTTACTCATCTTTTAAATTGGATTGTTTTAGCTTGTGTTGAGTTGCAATAAGTCTTTATATATTCTGTGTATAAGCTCTTTACCAGATTATGATCTGCAAATGTTTTCTACCAGTCTGTAGCATGTCTTTCATTTTCCTATGATTTCTTTGGAAGAGCAGAAGTTTTAAACTTTAATAAAGTCCAACTTATCAAAAATTTTTTATTGGTGTCATATCTAAGAAATTATGCCTAACCCAGAATCACAAGATTTTTTTCCTATGTTTTATAAGTTTTATAGTTTTGGCTTTTATATTTAGGTTTATGATCTGTTTTTAGTTTATTTTTGTTTATAGTGTGAGGTAAGGATCTAAATTAATTTTTTTCATAGAATTTTGGGGTTTTTATTTTTTCAGTGTTCTATATTCAGTTATAATCATTATTCTTAATGATGCTGAAATTTTCCAGTTAGTTTGGCTTTTGTGTCCTTTGGACATGCCCTCATTTGTCTATGGATACATCTGTGTTTTCTGGCTCTTCACTATTTCCCCTGCTGCATGTCTGAAATCAATCATTTTACCATGGGGCTCTGTTTTGTTTTGTTTTTGTTTTAGTGGACTGACTACTATGGGTGCTCATTGCTACTGGGGTAACAATTGATTCTAAACCTTTTTAGCAGACAGCTATGTAATATAACTTTTTAAAATCATAAGTTTATATTGACATTTTTCATTCAGACTTGACATTACAAGTTTTGCTTTTATATTTCTCTAGTTTATTCTTTTTAAAAATCCTTTTTTGTCATTTAGTGATGTTTAAATGAGTTTTTCATTCCACCATCATTAAACAGAATCTATGCCCTTTTGTCTCCCTACATATTTTATTTTTATGGATTGTCCAAACCCATGACCATTTAACTAACTGAGAATCCTATGGAATCATCAAAGAGTAAATAGGGAAAAAACTCTAAAACTTTGGTAGAGAAAGCTGCTCTCTAAAAATTATACAGAGTAAGAAAAAGAACTTTTCTCAACATCCCCCCCCTTTTTTTTCCTCACTTTGTAGTTTGGAATGGTCAGGTGTCATTGTGGATGAAGCTCATAGAATCAAGAATCCAAAGGCTAGAATAACAGAAGCTATGAAAGCTTTGAAATGTGATGTCCGCATTGGCCTCACTGGAACCATTCTTCAGAACAACATGAAAGAACTGTGGTGTGTTATGGACTGGTGAGTGAAAATAATTTTTCCATTTTGGAAAAGTTTTAGTATTTCTTTAACTTAATGTTACCCTGTTTGCTAATTAATAGTTTCTAAAAAAAAAAATTGTGTCTGTTTATGGACATGTTTGTCCCAAACACAGTATACAGAGTAAAGAGTCCCATGAATACCTATCTTTATATATTACTCTTGGCCCCTGCAGTAAATATCTGAACTTATTTACCAATTCTGTCATCTTATAGTTATTTACTGAAATGTCGTAAAGAAAAAACATTCTCTTTTCTTTCATTTTGTTATTGTTGTCATCCATGAACAAGTGACTTAGTTTCTTAGAAGCAAAAAGAAATCAGTGTGTTTCTTTTTAGATAATTTAATAAAGCTGTCATATTTTTTTAATTGTCTTTATAAAGGGCTGTGCCAGGACTTTTAGGTAGTAGGATCCACTTCAAGAAGCAGTTTTCTGATCCAGTAGAACATGGTCAGAGACACACAGCAACAAAAAGAGAACTAGCCACTGGCCGAAAGGCCATGCAGAGGCTTGCAAAGAAGATGTCTGGATGGTTTCTCAGGCGTACCAAGACTCTAATCAAGGATCAGTTGCCTAAGAAGGAAGACCGGGTGAGAACGGCATTTGTTTAAATTATTAATTTCTCATCATTTATTAATTTCTCATGTTTTATTTTTTTCTGAAAAAAATTCTTTTTAAGAGGAAATCTATCTCCTGTGGTATTTTATGAATATAGTTTTTTGCCGTTTACTCAATGTGGAAAAAAATTATTATATGCAAATTCAGAAGGCATTAATTGAGTCCAATCTAACAGGTTAGCTAACAGATTTATTGTTAGTATACATTAAATTCATTTCTCTTATTTTATAATGCTTTTGGTATAATTCTTTCTCAATGAAGAAAGAACTCTCTCCCTAATTTGTTTTCTGTTCGTATTTTGCCCTTCATATATTTTTCCTACTATCTATAGCCCAGTGTATTCTTTGGGACCTTAATAACAGCTATAGGACTACAGTGATAAAAGCTTTGTTTCATAGGTTTGTTTCTTTTAGAATGCTCTCTATAGTTCTACAACTAACTTAATTTGAAGAATTTTAGGAAAATTATAATTGCATTCTGTCAGTTGTTTAAGAATGCAGTAGTCCTCTTTTATAGTTTTTAATCTTGTGGTTCTTCTAACTCAGGTAATGGAATAAAGGTTCTATAAATTACTATGAACTAAGCTTAATTAATGTCCCATATATGGGCAATACTATCAAATACTCTCTAAACTTAGGATATCCTGTTGATTATTACTTTAAAAAAATAGATTTGAAAGGAAAATAAACTGATATACAAGTTGGGGAAATTGACTTTTTGCTCTAAAACAAATATTATTGTTTAATTGGAATACTTAATGAACCCCCACTTTTTAAAATATTTTGCATAATTTTATGTATTATTATTTAATTGTCTGTCCAGTAGGAGCAATAACCATAAATATTTTGAAGAGAGAATTGTGCACAGAGTGTTTAGAGCTTGGGCTCTGAAATGAAATAATATAGGCTTGAATCCTGGCTCCCCTACTTAGAGGAGTTTTGTGACCTTGAGCAATTTGCTAAGTCTCCCAAACCTTGGTTTCTTTATCTGTTAAATAGGAATGATGATAGCAGTGCCTGCCTTATATGGTTGCTCTGAAGTGTGTGGCATGTGAGAAGTGTTTAGTGAATGTTACTACATGTTTTAAGGTACTTAGGAATAAATTTAACCAAGGAGGTGAAAGACCTAGACGCTGAAGACTATAAGAAACTGATGAAAGAAATTGAAGAATGGGGCGCCTGGGTGGCTCAGTTGGTTAAGCAACTGCCTTCGGCTCAGGTCATTATCTCAGGGTCCTGGGATCAAGCCCCGCATCGGGCTCCCTGCTCGGCGGGAAGCCTGCTTCTCCCTTTCCCACTCCCCCTGCCTGTGTTCCCTCTCTCACTGTCTCTCTCTCTGTCAAATAAATAAATAAAATCTTTAAAAAAAAAAAAAGAAATTGAAGAAGACACAAAAAAATGGAAGGATACCCATGTTCGTGGATTGGAAGAATTAATATTGTTAAAATATCCATACTACCCAAAGCCATGTATAGTTTCAGTGCAATCCCCATCAAAATTCCTATGGCATATTTTTACAGGAATAGAACAAACATTCCTAAAATTTGTATGGAACCACAGTAGATCCTGAAATAGCCAAATCAATCTTGAGAAAGAACAGCAAAGTTGGCAGGCATCACTTTTCCTGATTTCACACTATGTTACAAGGCTATAGTAATCAAAACAGTAAGGTACTGTCATAAAAACAGATACATAAATCAGTAGAGTAGAATAGAGAACCCAGAAACAAACCCACACATATATAGTCAAGGGAGCTAAGAATACTCAGTGAGTAAGAGAGGAAGATACTCTTTTCAATAAGTGGTGGTGGGAAAATTGGATATTCAAATGCAAAAGAATGCAGTTGGACTCCTGTCTTATACCTCTCACAAGAATTAACCGGAAATTGATTAAAGATTAAAACACAAGACATAATCTTTTAAAACTCCTAAAAGAAAACAGGAAAAGAGCTCCTTGGCGCTGGTCTTGGTGATGATTTTTTGAATATGACATCAAAAGTATAAGCAACAAAAGCAAAAATAAAGAAGTGAGACTATGGGGCGCCTGGATGGTGCAGTTGGTTAAGTGTCCGACTCTTGGTTTCAGCTCAGTTCATGATCTCAGGGTCGTGAGATTGAGCCCTGCATCAGGCTCAGTGCTCAGTGTGGAGTCTGTTTAACACTCTTTCTCCCTCACCCTCTGCACCTCAACACCACCCCCACCCCGTCCCTGCACCCTCTCTCAAATAAATAAGTAAATCTTTAAAAAAAAAAAAAAAAGTGAGACTACATCAAACTTAAAACCTTCTGTACACCAAAGAAACAATCAACAGAATTTGTCATTTTTTTACAATATTCTGTTGTAGTGTTATATAAATATTTATAAATAGATGGCTTTTCCTTTTTATTCACATTTTTCAAAATCTTATGGGTTTTTATGACCCTGGTTATATACAGCTACATTTAGAAGACTTACCAACTTCCAGTGCTACTAAAAATATAAGGTAAATTATATCCTGCATAATTTAATGGCATGATTTTACCAAATTTTCATTTTTTTTAAATTTGGGCACAAAATAGAAACTTGTAGTGCTTTTAATGTGTATTTTCTTAATTCTTACCTTTACTAATCTTAGGAATTTGTAGTAGGACATCAAATACAAATTGTAATATAAATAATAGTAATAAAGTTTTAAATTTTTTTCTAAGTTTTCAAGGAATTCAGTAAGTACTATTCATACTGTTGTTCCAAAGTTTTCCCTTTTCTCCTTATCCAGTTTTTTTTATAGATTTTATTTATTTATTTGAGAGAGAGAGAGAGCACAAGCAGGGGAGAGGGGCAAAGGGAGAGGGAAAGCAGACTTCCCGCTGAGCAGGGAGCCTGATGTGGGGCTCGATCCCAGGACCTGATCATGATCTGAGCCAAAGGCAGACATTTAACTGACTGAGCCACCCAGGCACCCCTCCTTATCTAGTTTTTTATTTGACCTAAACCGTAGTCATTTATTTGCATGATGGGCTAATAGTATGAAAGCCTGAAAAGACCCAGAATATATTTAGAAATATATAAGGAAAACACTTGTTTTTTCATATTTGATTACTTTCAATTGAAAAACAAATTCTATGAGATTTATTTGAAAAGAAAGTTATTTATATAGTTTAGGGTAGGGTGGGAGAAATTGTCATAATAATGTATCTAAAAGAAAAGTAGTTGGGGCGCCTGGGTGGCTCAGTTGGTTAAGCGACTGCCTTCGGCTCAGGTCAGGATCCTGGAGTTCCAGGATCAAGTCCCGCATCGGGCTCCCTGCTCAGCAGGGAGTCTTCTTCTCCCTCTGACCCTCCCTCCTCTCATGTACTCTCTCTCTCTCATTCTGTCTCTCAAATAAATAAATAAAATCTTAAAAAAAATAAATAAAAGAAAAATAGTTTATAAGCAGTTTTCACTCTTACAGACTTCAAAATCTGATGTGCGTTATGATTACTACTGCTATAAAAAAGTACCAATAATTGCCTCGTGTTTCATCTTGGCAGATGGTGTATTGTTCTCTGACAGATTTTCAGAAAGCTGTCTATCAAACCGTATTAGAAACAAAAGATGTGACTTTGATACTTCAGTCTTCTGAGCCTTGTAGCTGCAGCAGTGGCCGGAAAAGGAGAAATTGTTGTTATAAGGCAAGCATTTCTGGGTGGTATCTCCACATCTTCCTTTTGAATACATATTTCTCTATTCTAATGTTGGAGGTAAGGAGCAGATAAAATAACTTTTCGTCAGTTCTTTAACTTTAGATGACGTAAGTTCATAAAAAGGAATAGTTTTCAAAAGTATTTTACAATATCAAATAGTAATTATAGCAAAATATAATATTCAAATATCTTTTCAATAAACTGGTTTTTCAGTAGCTCTCAGAAACTAGTAGCTTCAATTTGATATCCCCCCTTTCAACTTTTGTTGGGAAGTAGCCTACTTCATCTTGGGACTTCATCTTATTTTCAGAAGTTTCTCCTTATCCCTTAGTAGTAAACTTAGTCTTTGATAGCAGGCTTAAAATACTATTCTGATAGAGTGTTAATTAATCAAAATTGTATATTGGTATAATAAAGTATTTTATTTTTATTTAGAAACAAATGTTAGTTTGTATTTTCTTAACCTTCTATCTGTATTTCCTGCCCTTTTTTTTTACCTCTCTATTTTATTATCAAGTTATCTGTCAAATATCCATGTACATAGAGGGACCCCGAATAAATATTTATCTAGATTGAGATTTATTCCATCTCTCATTTATTTTGCTGTTTTTAACCACGTCACTTTTTCAGAATAGCACAGTTTCCTCGGACGCCTTGGAATATAAACAAGAGGACAGTGAAGGGACAGTGAAGTATAATCCTGCCCCCGTGCCATTTTTTATTACCAGGAACCTCGTATGGCAGCATTCTCTATCACTGTGGTTCCTGAGGGTAGATACTTTCTGGAATGAGGACTTTCTCCCCTCTTTTCTTAAAAACATCACCAAAAGTATGATTCCACATTAAGTGATTCATGGATATTTTACGTAACAGTTGACCATCATTTTCTCAGAATGTATTGTGCCAGGGGTGACCAGATGATAAACATTAGCATAAGCGATATAGTTTATGAAGTCAGTAGTTACATAGCCTTGCTTGTTTTTATTTTCTCTTTTTCTGGTTATAGACCAATTCACATGGTGAAACAGTGAAAACCTTGTATTTCAGTTACCTTGCAGTCCTTCAGAAGGTAGCTAACCATGTTGCACTACTGCAGTCTGCTAGCACCTCCAAACACCAGGTTTGAGTTGGCTTTTTACATTTCTTTGTGATGCTATTTGGTATAAAGATTTTATATTTGCTATAAAATGTCATAGCCAAGTATCTTTAAGTTATTTTTGTATGCAATTTAAGAGGAAACTGACTTGCTCATTTTTTAATTTGGGTGTCAAAGAAGTATATGCTCTTAAGTTTTTTCAGAGAAAATTGAAGCCTAAGTTAAAATAATAGCTCTTTTTTTATGCCTCTGGTAATGTTGCTATATTTGTTTTCCTAACATGTTTTGATATAATTACTAAGTAAGATATTTGATGAGTCGGTCTTATTCCATTAATAATGTATCTAACTCCATTTATCCAACCTACTGGATTAAAATGCACTTACAGTAATCTGTATGTTAAATATTAGGACTATTTCCCAAATTGGCAAAAATCAGCAATTTCAAAGTTTAGACATAAACGCAATCATTTACTTTGAACATTTCAGTTGTATCTTATTCTAGAGCACAACGTAAATTAAAAAAAATCTTTAAGGCTTTATTTATTTACTTATTATTTTAAAGCTTTTTTATATAATGATTTTATATTTTCTTTTTGTGTTATAGTCTTCATGCTGTTCAAATATAATTTTAAAATCTTACAAGCATTTAATATTATTCTTTGATAGTACTGTTTGCTCTTTGGGAAGTATTTGATTCCTTGCTTTAGAGATTATAAAAGAATAATGATAAAATTATTAGTCCTATCATTATCTCAGAACTCATCAAAGCCATATATGATTAACATTATCACTTTAAGGGTTTCTGAATAATATAGTTGATGACATAAGTTCATAAAAAGGACGTAAAAAGTCTGACTTAGAGAAGATAATATCTTCAAAGTAATATATTCCTTCTAAATAGAATTTTTCCATAAACAATCTCAATTTATATAGGTATAAATGTGTTAAGTTGAAATTTCTTTTTTCTGTCTTTTCCTCCTAAGGAAACACTTATCAAAAGGATATGTGATCAGGTATTCTCCAAGTTCCCAGATTTTGTGCAGAAAAGCAAAGATGCAGCCTTTGAAACCCTTTCCGACCCAAAATACAGTGGGAAAATGAAGGTAAGTGCTCTTCTTTCAGGCTGCGCACAGATAAGGGTGATATACAAAATATTTATCAATGGTATGACAGGGCCAATAACTAATCAGAACAGATACCCAATCATTCAGAAGAAACTGTGGCCAAAGACAACTGATGTAGCCTTAGCATTTACTGGCTTACAATGAACCATGCATGCTGAGGTTCTCAATTTGTGGTTACATCAGATATACTTCAGACTTTCCTTATTGATTTATGAGATGTATGCCCTCTTAAAAATGTATGCTGTTGCCACATATATAATAGCTTATCTTCAAATGTTTAAGAGATTATCTACCAGAAATATAAATTCTAATGCCAAATACAAGGATGAGGATAGGCAATAGCTGGGAATTAGAGAAAGAAACTTCTTAAAGAGTTCAAGGTGGACAAGACCTCTGTGTCTAGACTGAATTTTCCGCCTCTCGTTTTTACTTGCCAACCTATATTGGAAAGTTGCTAAGTCTAATTTGTAGCAAGGGAGCATTTGTTGTACACCAGGAGACTGACTTGTAGATGCTGCTCTCAGTGATGTATTCTCAGGGGAGGGTGGGAAAGGTAAGGCTCGGTTCTCCAGCCATGACCCAGGCCTCGGGGCACTGCCGGTGACAGCTGCGGGAATTGCTGGTAGCTCCTAGCCTTTTGGCAGCCACTTTGTTTAACTCTTTAGTAACTATCAAGAATCTTATTTATGGATTCAGAGACTATTACCAAACAATTCCCAACATTATGTTTTAATTAAGAAGAAAGTAAGTTATTTCTTTTGGCTAAATAAATAAGTAATTTGAAGTAGTCAGGTGGTTTTCTTAAAATCCTGGAAATATTTTTAGCAGTTAATCTACATACACTCATCATAGTTTAGTTTGCTCAGACCTCTAATTCAATGAAATAAAATAAAAGCCAAAAAGATTACCTTAAAAACTTGTGTCTGTATTTTTTATTGAGATATAATTGACATATAACATATTAGTTTTAGGTGTACAACATAATGATTTGATATATGTGTATATGGCAAAATGATTATCACAATAAGTTTAGTTAATATCCATCACCACACATAGTCTTTTTTATTATGATGAGAGCTTTTAAGGTATACTTTCTTAGCAACATTCCAATATGTGATATAGTGTTGTTAACTGTAGTCACCATGCTGTACATTATATCCCCAGGACTTATAACTGGAAATTTGTACCTTTTGACTACCTTCACCCATTTTGCCTGCCTCCAACCCCTGCATCTGGCAACCACCAATCTGTTCTCTGTACTTATAAATACAAGCATTTTTTTTTTTTAGATTCCACATATAAGTGAAATCATAGGGTATTTGTTTTTCTCTCTCTTATTTCATTTAGCGTAATGCCCTTCCTGTTGTTGCAAATGCCAGGATTTCCTTCCTTTTTATGTCTCAGTATTCCATTATATATGTATATATCACATTTTCTTTATCCATTTATCTATCAACAGACACTGAACATTTTTTCCATGTCTTGGCTATTGTAAACAATGCTGCAGTAAATGTGGGGGTGCAGATGTCTTATCGAGATCTATTTCATTCTTTTGCATGAGGCTATTCAGTTTTTCCAGCACCATTTATTGAAGAGACTGTCTTTCCCCCCATTGTATATTCTTAGCTCCTTTGTCATTAATTAATTGACTGTATACGTGTGGGTTTATTTCTGGGCTTTCTATTTTATTTCATTGATCTGTATGTCTGTTTTATGACAATAGCATACTGTTTTGATTACAATAACTTTGTGGTATTGTTTGAAATCAGGAAGTATGATGCCTCTAGTTTTTTTGCTCTTTCTCAAGATTGCTTTGACTATTTGGGTTTTTTTTTTTTTTTTAAGATTTTATTTATTTGACAGAAAGAGAGACAGTGAGAGAGGGAACACAAGCAGGGGGAGTGGGAGAGGGAGAAGCAGGCCTCCCGCTGAGCAGGGAGCCCGATGTGGGGCTCGATCCCAGGACCCTGAGATCATGACCTGAGCTGAAGGCAGACGCTTAACGACTGAGCCACCCAGGCGCCCTATTTGGGGGTTTTTTTGGTTCCATGCAAATTTTAGTATTGTTTGTTCTGTTTCTGAGGAAAATGCCATTGCATTGAATCTATAAATGCTTTGAGTAGTATGGACGTTTTACACTCATTAGTTCCCAACCTATGAACACTGAATACCTTTTTATTGATTTGTGTCTTCTTTAATGTCTTATAGTTCTCAGTGTACAGGTCTTTCACCTCCTTGGTTAAATGTATTCTTAGTTACTTTATTCCTTTTGATACAGTTGTAAATGGGGTTGTTTCGTTAATTTCTTCTTCTGATATTTCCTTATTAGTATACAGAAATGCAATGAATTTTTGTAGGCTGATTTTGTATCATACAACTTCACTGAATTTATTAGTTCTAACAGTTTTTTTGGTGGTGTCTTTAGGGTTTTCTATATATAAGATCATGCCATATGTAGAGACAGTTTTTCTTCTTCCTTTCCCATCTGGATGCCTTTTATTTCTTCTTCTTGCCTAATTGCTCTGGCTAGGACTTCTAGTACTATGTTGAATAACAGTGGCAAGAGCAGGCATCCTTGTCTTGTTCCTGATCTTGGAGGGAAAGCTTTCAGTTTTTACCAGTGGGTGTTATGTTAGCTGTAGGCTTGTCATATATGGCCTTTATTATGTTGAGGTATGTTTTCTCTATACCCCCTTTGTTGAGAATTGTGTATTTTTAAAATAAGTCTGTGTTAGTGAGAATATTCTATGATTTATTATCATAATAATTCAAACCTAACAATAGTAAAGTTCCTAACAATCTTTCCTAACAATAATCTATTTTGTCACCCATTTTATTGACTTTTATTTACTTTTAAATAAAATAATATAAAAAGCTCAATTAATTTAGAACTGAGCACTTATTATCTCACTTATTTCCCAGGCCAGAAACCATGGCCTCCTGTGAAAACTGTATTATCTATTGTTTTATATTTAAATTGCATTCATTATGATTCTTCACTAAAAAGTTACTCTTAATATTAAATGGAATTTTATAACTCTACATTTTATATTCTTATATACTCAACATATGATTTAAAATGTACTATTTGCGTTATATATCTAGGAATAATAATGTCTGATTAAAATTATTACATTTATTTTTTGTTATGATTTTTAGAAGGGAAAAAGCAAGCATGAATTGTTGCTGGAGGCTGGGTAGGTGTTTGTATATGTGAAAGAAGCCTGTAGTTTATTTATTTTGTGAGAGAACACCAGCAAGACAGAGACTGATAGTAATAACCTAGGGTTATATTTTTAAGATTGTGTTTCATCATTTGATTATCAACATCATCTGGTGATTTAGTGATACAAAATGTATAGGCATATAATCTGTTGCCTGTGGGGAGAGTTAAGAAATCCAAGTTGCATGTATATCTTGAATTCAGGTGATAAAAGATGCTAGTTATGCTTCTCTTATTATTAGTCAGCCTGCAGCTGTAATTTATTTGTTGATGTAATGCTCATTTTACCCTTCATACCGTCAAAACTACACTCATGAACTCAACCTTTTTCTCTTATATGTGAAGGTCTTTTGTGATCTCAACTACTATTCAAGTGGATGGTCACAAGTTGAACTTACTCCCCTGATAAGAATCTTCATTTTCCCTTCCCTTGGGAAATACCACAGAGCCACTTACTGTTGGGGGTGGGGAAAAAGACTTAGGAAACCCAATTTAGTGCTGTTGGGATCATCTAGGGGTCATGTTCATCTCTAGGCCTGACTAATTTGAGAAAAGTTAGGCCCAAGATTTCTTAGCTGTGAACATTGTTATTTACAACACTCCTTGGTATTTATCCAAATGAGTTAAAAATTTATGTTCACACAAGAGCCTGTACATAGATATTTATAGCAATCTTATTTATAACTGCCAAAACTTGGAAGCAACCAAGATGTCCTTCAGTAGGTGAATAGATAAATAGTGGTACATTCAGATAATAGAATACTATTCAATAATAGAAAGAAAGGAGCTATCAAGCTACAAAAAAGACTCGAGGCACTTTAATTGCATATTGTTAAGTGAAAGAAGCCAGTCTAAAAGGCTACATACTGTATGATTCCAACTATATGACATTCTGGAAAATGCAAAACTCTAGAGAAAGTAAAATGATAAATGGTTGCCAAGGGTTTGCAAGGAGGGATGCATAGATGGAGCACAGGGAATTTTTAGGGCAGTGAAATTATTCTGTATAATACTGTAATGGTGAATACATGTCATTAAATGTCATGTATATGTCATGTTTGTAAAAACTCATGGAATGTACAACACAGTGAATTAACCCTAATGTAAGTAATGTAAACAGACTTTAGTTAATAATAATAGTTAATAATTTAATAATAATAGTTAATGATAATGTATTATTAATAATTTATTCATTCATCAGTTGTTACAAATGTACCACCCTAATGCAAAATGTTAATAATAGGGAAAGCTGCATGCAGGGGAGGGGCAGAAGTGCAGGATGGGGGAGAGGGGATCTGTGGGAGTTCTCTGTATATTCTACTCCATTCTTCTGTAAATCCAAAGTTGCTCTAAAAAATAAAGTCTTTTAATTTTAAAAAATTAATGTATTATGTGAAATTCAAATGCACATACTTTATATAGAATCAGTTATTTTATTAAAAAATAAAGCAAATGCAAAGCTTATTTTGCAAATAAATGCAAAGCTTACTTTATAAGTTATGCAAGTATTAAAATTAGGTTTACCTGATCTGTGACATTTTTATTCACCATTTGATTGGTTATCTGAGTAGCTTTTTTCTTAACCCCATGGCTTTTTCTGAGGGATTGGATGGCGGGGGTCAGTGTTAGCAGTGTCTTCTCTTAGTCAACCATTAAAAGTGTCTTATATTTCTTATATTGAGTATAATTTTTTATTTAAGTTTAAATGCTTATCAGTGAATAAACAAAATTGCTGAAGTGTTTATTGCATAATTCAGAAAAATTTTAGGCTTAGTTCGGAAAATTCCTTTTCTTTCCTTTGTGGATTACTTTTCCACAGTGTTCTGGAACTGTCATTGCCAGATGTGGAAATGCCTGTTTTAAAAATAACAGTATTACTATTATAAATAGGCTTTGGATTATTTGCTTCCTCCCTAAAAGCACTGTGTATGGGGGCAAATTATTGACATTTTGAGGTCAAAATCAAATCTGGAAGTCAGGGCTTACTGTAAATAGAGAAGCAGAGGGGATAAAATGAGAAGAGGTGTATATGTGACTGATTATTTTAAGAAAATAAATATCAAGACTTTTAGAACCTAGATGTAATTAAACACATTTCATTATATCTATCTGGAAAAAACTTAAATACTTCCTAAAAGGAATGCTGTTCTGTAATTTAGTTTCTGAACATATTGTAGGTATAAAGAAAGTGTGTTTTAGAAATTAAATTAATTCATTTAAATGCGTCCCATAATCTAAAATGCTTCCTTTTTATTAAAACCAGATGAGATGAAACAAAAGTCTTTGGGAACCTTACCTCATTATTGACAATATGATGATGAATAACATCTCATGTAATATCTAATACTTTATTTCTCTAAGTTGGCAAAAATCAAGGGAATTAGGAAAGAGGACTGAGGTTATGTTATATAAAAATAATTTTTAAGAAATTCTCAAGTGATGTTTATATGTATAAAGTGTGCTTTTAGTTGGAACTGGTTCACTGGTGGTTGATTTCTGTGGTTCATTTCCAGGTCCTTCAGCAGCTTTTAAATCATTGCAGGAAAAACAAAGATAAAATACTTCTTTTCTCCTTTTCCACCAAGGTGAGTTTCTTCTGAAGTATATTTTTGATTGGCCCAGCCCTGACTTCTGAGGCACAAAGCCTAAGAGACATAATGTGTCTAGCCACATTTTCTATCTTATACATAATGTAGAAAATGGTAGTTAGGTAAGCAACTTTTAAAACAAATGCTTAAATCTCAATGATATATCAGGGTTATTGTCAAATAGCAAATACAAAGATAGATTTTTAATTCTCTTGGTGTTTTTGTTATAATTAAAATGTTCAAGACATTTAAGAGATTTTAGAACCTGGAAAATAGCACAAATAATGAAATACATTTATATAAATTGGCCAATACTTTTATTTTTATCTGGTTTTAGTTTAAAAACAATAAAGTTTGATATTTGTTTTCTAAAAGATTGATTTTTTTTTTTTTATTTTAAGACAAACATTGGTGAACTTTAAAGGCAGTTGCAGGATAATGGGAAGAAATACATGAGCCAGAAGCCAGGAAAATATTTGTTGCTCTTGTAATTTTAAGAAAGAACTTATAAGCAGCAATTATTAATACTTAGTAAATCTTATCTCTATAATTGTATGAAACTTATTAAACCATGAATTTGTCTTTGCCCTTCTTCATGTCTTTTCTCTAGCTGCTTGATGTTCTGCAGCAATACTGTATGGCAGCCGGCCTTGATTACCGACGACTTGATGGAAGTACGAAATCAGAGGAAAGAATCAAGATTGTGAAAGAGTTCAACAGTACACAAGATGTTAACATTTGCCTTGTCTCCACAATGTAAGAAAATAAAATTTGATAACTTGATTTTTATCTAATTGCTTTTAAGATTTAGGGTAATTTAAAAATTATTACTGGATTAATTTCAATGGTTATGCTTATATTGCTTTGTTTTATTTGGCTTTAAGGAGAAGCAGCAAAAATGCTATTAATTATGACTGAAATAACAATATCTTGAGTTTTACCTAACCTTGTCTCTCAATTTCCTTATCATCACTGAATTCTCCTTATATGTCTGGGTTTATAAAGATAACAATCAAAAGAAATGGATGTTTCCTCCCAGGAATTTTCTGTGGTAGTGTTCTTATTCATGTCTTGTGGTCAGAACAGTCAAACTTAATTGAATAATCAAGTTATTAATCATATAACTGAGAATCATTTGTAGCAGTGGTTTTTAAACTGTGCTCAAGGAGCCCTAGAGAGCCCACTGGGCGTAGTGGGCCAGGTACTTCCTCCCTTTGTCTACCTGGTCTCAACCACAGCAGCTCCATATTAATAGGTTTTATAGAAGCTAGGTCAGTTCTAACACCTATTTATGAATTTCTCATTAAAACCTTTTAAATAATATACACACTTTAGAGAAAGATTTAAGCCAATATAAACACCTAAGAAGATTAATCCCTTTTGGGGGGTAACAAATCCTTACTTGGACATCTAATGTAATAAGTATTTTTTATAGATCTGCCCCCATTATCTTTCAAAAAGAATTTCAAAGGACTTTAAAAACAAACATATGTAAAATGTAAAAAGTCAACACAATAATTACTTAAAATGAGGAATAAAATTATATATATGATGAGTGAGCTACTTACTGTTGAACACTGAAGTTATTCTCAAATTCTTGCAATGAAGTCATAAGGAGAGATGCTCTGGATTCCCATTTTCCTGTGAATGAATCAAGAAGTAATTTCTCACATGAGCCCTTCCTTACCTACAGAGCAGTAAATGACATGGAATATTGTCTTCAGTTAAGTTTTATAAAGTACACACAAGCATTCTTAATTTCTTAAATAATAAGCATTTTTAATTTCTTAAATAATGTTTTTCAAAGTCATAAATATCTTTAACAACAGTTCAAATAGTATAGAACTTCTGATGGCAAGCAGTCATCTCTCATTCCTTTTCTGCTCACTGCATCTAATTTGATAAGATTTGCCATAAAGCTCCTAATTATCTCTTTATATTAGAAATTGTTATTTAACCCATTCATTGAATTTTTAAGACTGTATTTTTCATGTTTAAAAGTCCTGTTGATATTTTCAGATCTGCCTGATTGTTTTTACTCATATTTTGTTCTTTATGGTTTCTAACCTTTCTCTTATTTCTTTAGTAATTTTAATCATTATTTTTTTTAAATCTCTTTTTGAATGGCAGTTTTGCTCTATTAACTCCTGTACTTGGGGCTGCTAATCCTTCTGTTTGTTGTTCTTTCTGGCTCTTGCTTATGGTAGACGGTTTCTTCACACATTTTGTTATTTTTTATTTTGAGCTTATCTACAGCGGGGCTTTTTCCCTGTTTTAGCCAGACACCATGCCAGCCGCATAAGGATGGGAATCCATGTTTCTTGCTTGGCTTCTGTTGACATCCTGAGAGTGAGGCACTTCATTACTGTTTCTATACAGCCTCCACTGACATCACAGAGGGGATCTGGTTATAGCTGAGCGTAAATGAATGTCCCCAGCTCCCAGTCAGTTTTCTCTGACACTCCCTGGGTGTGGGTGAGAGGCACCCTGTTGTAGTTAGGCAAGGGTGGAAATCTAATCTCCTCACTCAGCCTTTACTGACCAGGTTGGGAGTGGGACCATAGATTTTTTTCCATGGTATTTACAAGGATGGGCTGGTTATTATCTTTCTGTCTTAAAGGCTATACCTTTGCTGGTTCTTTGGCTAAAGGAAGAAGGCTTTTCTTGGGGCTTTTTTTTGTCTTGACTGTTGGCATTTCCAGTATGCTGGTTTCTTCAGAACCCAGTCTGGGATTTTTAAGCAAAAAGATAGCTGGAGAACTCATTACCATGTCATTCCTTAGTTCGTATAGTCCCTAGCCAATCTTTGTTCTCTCTACCTTTCAGAATCTTATGTTTATTTTATATATGATATCCAGGGGTTTTTAGCTGCACTTAGTGGAAGGAATAAGAAGTACATCTACTCCTGTACTGATTTTTAAAAATGTGTATAGTACTTTATTTAGCTGGACTATACTTGAAATTTTTAGAAAGTATGTTAGGAAAATCTTTACAGCATAGTATTTGAATATCCAAAAAATGAAAAAAACAGCACAACCCTGTTATGTGGGCTTTAACGGTCAGGTTTTTGGGTTTTGTTTTTTTTAGGGATATTCTAGTGGTAGAAAAATAATATTCCATAGCTATTTCGTTTGTGGCATGTTTGTGTTTTAATCATCTTTTATGATGTTAATGCAATATTAGAGGGCAACAATTATGTTTTTGCTATTTTAATATGCCCTTTTCTGTTTCCTCCAGGGCTGGTGGACTAGGCCTCAATTTTGTTGGTGCCAATGTTGTTGTATTATTTGATCCTACTTGGAATCCAGCCAATGATCTTCAAGCAATTGACAGGTATAATACTGACAAAATTTAAAGTGACCTACAAGTACTTTTTATCTAAAAATACTCCTTTTTGACTCTCTTAGGTTGCTTATTATATTACTGTGATTAGAAGATAGAGAAAACCTTATGAAAAAAATTGTATTTAAGATAACCCTGAATCTGAACCCAAATAGCAGGCTGATAATAGCATTTTATTTTCTGTCCATCTCAAAATCCCATTATTATGACAGAACTGGTTTAAGAAGAAGGAACAAACCCATAATACTATAGGAAGAGAGGGAGGGTCACTACTAATAGATCAGAAGTTTTGAAAAACTCCTAGAAGATAGAAGGTAAACAGAATGTATATGATCAAGAAACCAGCAGAGAAAAGCCACAGTCCAAAGTCAGTAGGAGAGCACAGAGAAATTTCAAGCCTGGGTCAGCAACTGTCAGATGTAGAAAGAGACCAGACCGAATTTTTGTGGGAAATTAATTGATGTGCTAATTCTAAAACCATTTCCTCTCCTACGCTCCATATATAGAGGGATTGGCCTACAACAGATGCCCCTTGATCAAAGGTGAAAGATTTATTTCATAAATTTTATAAATAAGTGGGGAATCAGACTGACAGAAGGTTTTTACAGTGGACATTAAGACCAGATCATAAAGCAGAGCTGAACCTAAAGTAATCCCAGATCTCCATGGAACATAAAAAGGGGGAAATGATTAAATTGACCTCTGTACCTGCATAGAAATCCAGACCAGCTTTCCTATGCAGTCTACCCAGTTCCTCATTTGTAATTATGAATGGAAAATTAAGAATTATGAGATAGGGGACGCCTAGGTGACTTGGTTAGGCAACTGCCTTCGGCTCAGGTCATGATCCCAGGGCCCTGGGATTGAGCCCCACATCAGGCCCTCTGCTCAGCAGGGTAGTCTGCTTCTCCCCTTCCCTTTGCTCATGCTCTCTCTCGTCCTCATGCTCTCTCTTTCAAATAAATAAAATCTTAAAAAAAAAAGAATTATGAGATAGTTTAATAAAACCAACAGTATGAAAGAAAAGGGCCAAGATCAGAAACAGACCCTGAAGGAAATAAAATAAGAATAGGACACCATGTAAAAAATGTGCATAGAAGAGAAAAATAGAAATTCTTAGAAATTAGGGGCACCTGGTGGCTCAGTCCTTTAAGCATCTGCCTTCAGCTCAGGTCATGATCCCTGCATCAGGCTCCCTGCTCAGTGGGTAGTCTGCTTCTCCCTCTCCTTCTACCCCTCCCCCTGGCTTGTGCTCTCTCGCTCTCAAATAAAATCTTTAAAAAAAAAAGAAATTCTTAGAAATTAAAATTATTGCCAAATAATTCAGTTCAAGATCTAAGTAATAAAATGGAGAGGACTGAAAGTGGAGATTGATATGGAAAATAAAAGGAATGAATATTTTAGAACACAATGACAGGGCAGGAGAGAAAACATACAGACACATATTGGTGATATTTCTAAGTTCCAGAGATAAAGAAAGGGGCTAAACAATGCCAGAGTGAGAAAGAGGGAAAGAAAATCATTTATAAAACAAAGACAAAAAGAACAAACAGGTTACAAAGAAATGAAAATCACACTCATTTCAGAACAGACTTTGAGCCTGGGTGGCTCAGTCATTAAGCGTCTGCCTTCAGCTCAGGTCATGATCCCAGCGTCCTGGGATTGAGTCCCACATCGGGCTCCTTGCTCAGCGGAGAGTCTGGTTCTCCCTCTCCCTCTGCCCCTTCTTGTGTCCCCTCTCTCACTGTGTCTCTCTCTGTTGAATAAATAAAATCTTAAAAAAAAAAAGAACAGACTTTGAAGAACAGACTTTTCATCTACATCATAGAATTTTGGAAGACAATTGAAGTTGTCAAAGTGACAAAATTCATATGATGGTATCTTCAAGAAAATAATTTTGATTTATAGTTGTAGTCAATGGCTAAAATATCAATATGTGAGGGAAAATAAAGCAACTGTTGACATCTAGGAACTGAGAAATTTATATTTAAGTCTAAATAATTGTTGATGGTTAATTGAGAGGCTTAATGCAGTTATAAAGAAAGAATTCTCAAGAATATGAAGGGATGGTATAAGAAAATTAGTAAGAGGGGTGCCTAGGTGGCTCAGTCAGTTTAATGTCTGACTTCAGCTCAAGTCATGATCTCAGAGTTCTGGAATCGAGCCCTGCATCAGGCTCTGCTCAGCGAGGAGTCTGTTTGAGATTCTCTCTCTGTTTCCCTCTGCCCCTCCCCTGGCTTGTGCTGTCTCTCAAATAAATAAAATCTTAAAAAAAAAAAGAAGAATCAAAAACTAAAATTCCATATAATTTCAACAAAACATTGGAGGTTGGGGATAATTGTGTTAGAATTTATATTTCATCAAAAAAGAATTAGGATATATTGGTCAGTTTTTCAAGTTTATGCCAAAAAATGTTTTTAAGTTTTAACAAAAAAATTTAAGGGCAACAACTAAGAGAGTTGGGCATAATAATCACTTGGTTCACTTTTTAAACACAGATGTTCAAGTGCCATCCTCCTGGTTTTCTAATTCTGTAGGTCTAGGGTGGGGATCTATAGTCTGCATTTTAAGAAACTCCTCAGGTCCTTCTATCAAAGGACGATAGCAACAGAGTAAAAGACAACCCACAGAGAAAGTATTTGCAAATTACACATGTGATAAGGACTTTATATATTTAGAATATATAAAGAACTTCTAAAACTTGGTTACAACAACCAAGAAATAAAAACCTAATTTAAAAATGGGAAAATGACTTGAATAGATATTTCTCCAAAAAAGATATACAAATGGCCAATGAACACGTGAAAATGTGCCCAATATTACCAATCATTAGGGAAATGCAAATCAAAACTACAATGAGATATCACTTCATACCCAGTAGGATAATTTTCTTTTTTTTTAAGAGAGCTTGTGTGTGTGTGTGTTTGTGTGAGCCAGGGTGGGGAGGGGCATGGGGAGAGAGAATCTTAAGCAGGTTCCATGCCCAGCATGGAGCCTGAGGCAGGGCTCAATCTCATGACCATTAGGATAACTTTCATCAAAAATAGAAAACAAGTCTTGGTGAGGATATGAAAAAATTGGAACCCTTTGCATTGCTGCTGGGAATATAAAATGATGCAGCTGCTATAGAATACAAGATGGTGTTTTTTAAAACATTAAGTATAGAATCACCACATTTACCCAAAGAATTGAAAGCAGGAACTCAAATAGATATTTGTACAACCATGTTTATAGCAGTATTACTCACTGTAGCCAAAAGGTAGAAATAACCCAAACCTTCACTGATGGATGAATGGATAAACAAAATGTATTCTGTACATAAAATGGAATATTCAGTCTTAAAAATGAAATTCTTTGTATTATTGAGATATAATTGACATACAACACTATATAAATTTAATCTATACAGCATAATGACTTACATATATTATGCAGTGATTACCACAGTAAGTTTAATTAACATCCATCATCTCATGTAGCTTCTAAAAAATAAAAAGGAATGAAATTCTGATCATGCTATAACATGGATGAACCTTTAAGACATTATGCTAATTGAAATAAGCCATATATGTAAGGATAAATATTGTATATTTCCAATTATATGATGTATCTAGAATAGTCAAATTAATAGAGACAGTAGAATGGTGGCTACCAGCGACTGGGGAAGGGAGAGAATAGGGAGTTACTGTGTAATGGGTACAAAGTTTTAGTCTGGGGTGATAAAGTTGTGGAGATGGATGATGGTAATGGTTGCAAACCAGTGTGAATTTCTTAATGCCACTTAACTGTATGTTTAAAAATGATTAAAGTGGGGAGAACCTGGGTGGCTCAGTTGGTTAAGCGTCTGACTCTTGATTTCTGCTCAGGTCATGATCTCAGGCTTCTGAGATTGAGCCCTGCATCAGGCTCACACTGGGCATGAAGCCTGCTTAAGATTCTCTCTCTCCCTTGCCGTCTGCCCCTCCCCACCCCACTCGCATGCACTCTCTCTCTAAAAACGAAAACAAAGACAAAAAAACAACACATGGTTAAAGTGGTAAATCTTATATATTTTACCACAATTTTTAAAAAACTACCCACGGGCATCTGGGTGGCTCAGTTGGTTAAAATGGTTCCGACTCCTGATTTCAGCTCAGGTCATGATTGCCAGGTGGTGGGATTGAGCCCTGCATCAGGTTCTGCACTCAGCACAGAGTCTACTTGTCCCTCTCCCTCTGCTGAGCACTCCCCCTCCTGCTCGCTTTTGCCCACACGCTCTCTCAAATAAATAAATAAAATCTTAAAAACAAACAAACACCCAAGGTGATTTTGATACAATTAATCCCCAAATCCGCTTTGAGAAACATGGGAAATCAGATGTAAAACATCCAAACAGAATTTCCAAAAGAAATTTTTTAAGTCACTGAGAAAATGTGATTATTTCAGTAAATGATTGGAAATGTGAGTGTGGAGTGAGAGGGGAAGAAACTAAAAAAGCATGGCAAATACAAAACATAAAATAAACTGTGAGAAATAAGGCCAAATATAAATATGAATGGGTTAAAACTTCCTTATTTAAACAAAAAAAGAAATTGAAAATGAAAAGTTAGATTCAGGTTTATGCTTATTACTATATATAAAATTTAAAGAAGGTTAAAAATAAAAATATACTTAAAAATCTAATCAGGGAGATGGTAACAAAAAGTAAGAGTGGCAATATTAACATCAAGCCAAATATTAGTAGACTTAAAGTCAAGATGCATTAAGGAAAACAAAATGGGGGAACAATCCATGAGGAAAGTATAATAGTCACTCCATAACAAAGCCAAAACTCTTTTATGATGAGAAATGGACAAATCCACAATCATGATGGGAAACTTAATATCCCTTTCTCAAAAATTAATAGATCAACTAGGCAAAAAAAGGAAATACATAAATTATTTGAATAACAGTTATTTAGCCTTTAACTTAATAAATATATATAACCATATCACAACTGAAAATACCCCGTC